GAGGGCTGCTAATAAGATAATTACATTTGAGACGTGCTGACAGCCTCCTCCACTCTCTTCTTAATCACTGATTAGATCACATTTTAAATCTTTGCTTTGTATACTTGGGGTTTAAGTTAGGGTTAGGTTATAGTATTTTTAATTTGCTTTATACAAAAACAAAAGAAGTCTATAACATATCCTAATTTAGATTAGCAATGCATATGCGTGTGCGTGTGTGTGTGTGTGTGTGTGTGTGTGTGTGTGTGTGTGTGTGTGTGTGTGTGTGTGTGTGTGTGTGTGTGTGTGTGTGTGTGTGTGTGTGTGTGTGTGTGTGTGTGTGTGTGTGTGTGTGTGTGTGTGTGTGTGTGTGTGTGTGAGCTGATAATTAATCCTTGCTAATCTCTTTATGGTGACTGACTCAGATGAGCTCTGACACATCAACAGACAGAAGTCATCAACTTGCTCACAGGTCCCGCAATCTCCAAAGGCCAGGAGCGGATATTAATGATGGCAAAATCTACTGAAAGTAGCCTGAAGCCATAACGTAATATCTCATCCCACTGGAGATAACAGTGAGCTCTGAATTTAACTTAGAGGTGGGAATGACGTTATTGTGTTTCAGAGATGTGGGTGAATGTTCGGTGATGAGCGTCTGGACTAAGGCAGATGTACATCACTGGGTCACGCTGGGCATCTGAGGACGAATTAGCGGTCTTGCTCTATTTAGCAGTCCTTGGCTTGTGATTATCAGCCGTTTGGAGATGCTACATGATGCTTTTTTCCCCACAGTTTTCTGTGAGGGTTTTAGAACAGGGGTTTTCTGACTTATTTTCTAAAGTCATTATGCAGAATTTTTTTAATTGAAGTTCTTCTTGCATTTTTATTTATGTTTGTTGTGTACAAAGTTCATTTTGAAATTGAATGATATTTTACAACTGCAGTTATGACTTTTTTATCCATAAGAGCCCAATTCAATTATATAAGCATAAAATTATTAAGTATTAAATTTAAGGGACCTATTATACACCTGGCACAATTAGGCACAAGACAAGTTTGGCACGATTTTCAGACCAGTTATGCGCTTATGTTGGCCCAAGCACTTACACATTGCTTAATACACACAGGATGAACAGCAACACACAAGTATCTTTACAAATGAAATTAAAGGATTAAAATGTTACAAAAATAATAATTTTTTTCTCTTTTCAGTTTTTGCATGACAATTTGCAGTTGTATAATGTTATTATTATTTTTATTATTAGTAGTAGTATTTTACTATATGCTTATTTATAATTGTTTTAATAAAAACAAGTTTAGATTTGTCCACCTGTCAGGTTTTGGGGTCGTCTGCGTCACCATATGGGGCAATGTGTAAGGACATGTGTTTGAAAATATAACTGGGTTTTTGATCACACTTCGTTATTATTGTTCATTTATTCATTTGCTGGAAATTAGAACTGAATTTAGAAATAGTTTAGAAAAAAATCTTGTGCTTAACAAACGAAATTAAATATGTAAGCTAATGGATGTCTTCAGTAAAGTGTGTACAACACTGTTTCCTTATCCACGATAGTAATGGAGTAAAGTAAAGAGTAAAAGTAAAGTAAAGAGAAAGTAAAGAGGCAGAATGGAGGAGGCTCATTCTCTGTTTAACTGTTTTCTCGCTAGTGAACCATGTAAATGGCAAATGCGCCATGGTGCGACACAACTGACTCTTAAAGGGAATGAGAGATGATTAATGCATGTTATGCTCAACACACCCATACCATATTAGAGAATAAGCACAATCCTTTTAGATCATGCCCCGCAGGGCAGAGTGTATTTTTTCCATCCTTAAAATAGCAAAAGTGGATTCGGACATGCCCTTAATGCTTTTGCATCATGCAATTTAGACTTCTAGATCGTTAAAATAGAGCTATTTATCTTTTGATTCCATATGTTATGACTGTCTAAAATCATAAATATTAAAAGAAAAAGAAATGCTTTTTATAACTAAATTCATGAAACCACTTATTGTAATTACATTTAAAGGGATAGTTCACCCAAAACTAAACATTGTATCTGCATTACTTACTTGTTTCAAACTGGTTTGACTTGGTTTTTTCTGTTGGACATGCAAAAAGATATTTTGAAGAATATTTGGAACCTGTAATCCTTGACTCTCATAGTATTTAATTTTCCTACTATGGATGTCAATGCTTACTTTAAAATGTCTTCCTCTGTGTTCAACAATAAAAAACAAAATTCTAAAGGTTTGAAACCATTTGAGGATGAGTAAATATTGAATGCATTTTTGCGTGAACTATCCCTTTAATACATTTTTATATGCAAATTTAGCTATTTTGGCCATTACCTTTCCTCCTACCAACTTATCAGAACGTCCTAGCAACCATTTGTCAACCATTGAAAGCCCTAGCAACCACTATTGCATGTATTTAATGACAAAGCCACATTGACACAAAATACATTTTAAAAAATCGATGAAAAATAGACACAAATATGAACTTCCAACCCATTAACCTATATATTTACTGCGACTCTTCCAAGTACAACATTCTTCAGGATCATCGTTCTGGTTGTTCCTGGACGAACATTTAGAAGATCAGTTCCCTCTGATTTTTAAGAACGAATTAGTGTAGAATTTATTTCTGTTCCTGATTTTGATAAGAGTGTTGTTCCAGGACTAACAAGGGATGTTGATTCAGTATCGCGTTCCAGCACTTGGCTTCATGTTGTGTGTGTGCTTATACAGTAGGCTTGGGCGGTATCCAAATTTTGATACCGTCAAACCGCCTCCATATTTTACCCCGGTTTCCGGTATTACCGGCGTAATAAAAAAATTATGACGTAAGGCTCAGACAGCGTCACCAAACTGTTGGCTTGAGCCTAAACCATTCAGAAACTGAATACCTTCTATGCGACCTTAGGCTCGCGGTCAGAGAGAGAGAGAGAGAGAGAGAGAGAGAGAGAGAGAGAGAGAGAGAGAGAGAGAGAGAGAGAGAGAGAGAGAGAGAGAGAGAGAGAGAGAGAGAGAGAGAGAGAAGCGACGCACAGCACCTCTCTCTCTCTCTCTCTCTCTCTCTCTCACACACACACACACACACATACACACACACACACACATCTCTCCCGCGATTTATTCAGAAATTTACTCCTACACCATAAGAAATCTGGCCGGCTCCCGCGGGACTGCAGCGGGAATGCAGAGCTGTAATCGGGCAATAAAAATTATACCCGATAGGTCCCGAGTCCGACAGGTACATTTGGATTGACAGCTTTATACAGCGCGAACCCGTTCACAGCCCGACATTATTCAAATGTGCTCATGCACACAGCTCTATTGCGTTTTTTTCAAGAATGAGTCATTTATGTGTTTTAACATCATTTATTCGTAACAAACGTAGACTAGGCTATGTGCCACTTGAAAGTTGGAACAAAGAAATAAAGTCCTCTGTAACATCGTAACATATCAGCACTCAATAGGTCTAGGTACATGCACTTAGCCTTTAAATTGGCCAACACACAAATGAAAAAAAAATCTTTCTTAACAAATCAAATTAAAATAAACTCTAAATGATGACGGGTATTTTGGCAATAACGAAATTAAGATAAAGGCTCTGCAAGTTGTTTCTCAACTTCTCTTCACAATCTGGCATTAAGGCGGCGGTGAAGCTGAATATTAAAAGAATAATGCCACCATTAGCCTGTATACTCTGTCTACATTATGATTATATGGTTTAATTAATATTTATCTATAATTGAAAAACCCTTTACTCACCAAGATTAGGCTACGTGTGTTTGTGGAGGAACATTATTAAATCCACAGGCTTTAGCGCAGTCCTGCGCTCACGGGCTAAAGCTGCGCTTTACTGCAGCTACAGGTCGAGATGCAGAGTTCTGATCTGGCTGATTTTGCAAGTTTTGGGTCGGATTGTTTGTTCATCTTCTACCAGTCAGGAACATCCATTTAATTTTCCATGACGGCAGTTTTACTGTAGCGAGAGGACTCGACTTTTTACCTGTCAGCTTGCGGTTTAGGGCTCTACCGTAATACGCAGTGTATGAGCGACCGCGAAATACTTGCGGCTGGAATGCGCTCTTTTTGAGCTAGTGACTGGCTTGACCGCCGTAATAATTCTCTTTTTTTACTACTTCATCATCATTTGTTTCATCTTTGCAGGGATGGATTTTAATGCAGGGATTTTGATTTTTTCGGGTCTCGCCGGGTTCGGGCAAAGATCTTTAGCTCTAATGCAGACCTCTCGTTCATATTAACCATGTCTCCCTTCTGTTCAGTCGAAACTCCCAAACTGCAGGACACTTTGAAGCGCGACACGTCACGTCACGTCACCTCTCCCTCTCCCCCTCCCTCTCCCTCTTCCTCTCTCTCTCTCTCTCTCTCTCCTCCACACTGTCCCGTGATGACAATCACACATACGTTTTTGTAGGCATTAAATAAAGGATATTTAATATTTTATGACGGTATAACGGTATTGAAACTGACACCGTTGCTATTTTTAGATCCCGCGGTATACCATAATACCGAAATACCGCCCAAGCCTATTATACAGTAGAACTTCTGAGCTCTTACAGTATGTCACAGCAGCTCTGAGACCAAGAGAAGTCTCCCATGTTCAGCCTGACCTACATTTGCCGCATATGGTGATTTGCATGGCTCACAGTAGCCATGGATTAAATAAAAAAAACTAGATCATTCATGACACTTCTGGTGCACTGCTAGAAGAGCTAGTAGATAAAGGTCTGGATTAAACATTCATGACTCCTTTTTTGTCTCTAATGCAAATCTTTTACATCTAAAATAGCACCTCACACGCAAAGATGCATAATGCTCTAAAAACAATGGGTCACTCCAGAGACTGATAAAGGAAAACATGGGATGCACAGTAACAAAAGATTTTGATGGAAGAGGCAGACTTGAATGGCCTCATTGTATTCTTAATTGTTCACGGTTCATGAGAAACAATGCGGTCTGAAGAACTTTTTCTGTCTCTTTGCAGGCGGTGTTGTTGCTGGGAGCAGCAGCATTGGTTTGTTTGGCGCTGGACCTTCTCTTCCTCCTTTTCTACTCATTTTGGCTGTGCTGTTGCCGCAGGAAGAACCATGACTCGCCCAATGCTGACTGCTGCTGCACAGCCTGGTGTGTGATCATCGCCACGCTCGTGTGCAGGTCCGTGTTTTTTCACTCTCATACACCTTCTTCAACTTTACTGCACCCAAGCACTCATAATGTGGCAATACACATCATGAAGTCTAGTTAGTTGGGCATCAAGAAAATAAAAATGTGACTGCAGTCAGTCCATCTGGGAGTTAACCTAAACCCAAAACATGCTCTTAACAGTAGGAGTAAATTGAAATGGAGTTTTATTGTCTATTAGGGACATGATTGTTAAGAGGGTTCGTTTACCTGGGCATTAATCATCCATCATATTGTTTGCAACATATAACTGTAACTTACATTCTGCTGTTGAAGGATTTGTGTTAAATGAAAATAGCTTTTCTTTAATAATTGAATATTAAGATGCATTTATTTAATGATCACTGCTCAAATAAAAACTATAGAACCATTTATTTGTTACATTAGGGAGTTTTCATGAGCAGTTTGTTTTCATTTAAACAAATATTTAGTTTTTAGAATTCATTTAATATTAGAGTGCAGCCATAATTTAACAATTACACTCATATTTCAGATACTTCATACATTAAAGTGTGTGAAGTATCATTTACTCACATTTCACTTTCGAGTTTCTTCTGTTGAACACAAAAGAAGGTATTTTGAAAAATGCTGGTTGATGGCACCAATTGACTTCCGTAATATATTTATGTTTTTTTTTTCTACTATGGAAGTTGATGGGTACCAGCAACCAGCATTCTTCAAAATATCTTCTTTTGTTCTCAAAAGAAGAAAGAAGCTCATAAAAGTTTAAAACCTCATGAGGAAGAGTAAGGCCCAATCCCAATTCTATTTTTGTTCCCCTTCCCTTTGGCCCTTGAAACAGAGTGTGAATGGGACAGCACTACAGCGCCTGCACTCGTCTTCATATGTCATTGCGATCTCTTCATATGAGATCAGACTGTGACGACTGCTGTAGTTATTCCAGCTGTGTTATTTTTTGGTATTTATCTTCAGGAAATCACTGAAGGCAAAGATATCATGTTATTCTGATGATATAATGTGGCAATAAGATTGTAACTGGACTGTGCATTCACACTGTGGCCATATTCTTTTGTGTAAACACACGAAAACAACATTAACATTATAGCAGACACTGTATAAAGCTCATTCCCTGCCACTAGACTTTTCTGACCGGGTATTTGAGTGTCATCGAGTTACAGAATGTTGTGACTATACAGGAGTTATTATTAGGGACTATAGATAGCAAAATTTAGCAGTTTTTATTTTAGCATTTTTTAAAGCATAACAGTAAAACACTAACGTCATTATGAACATTAAAACATGTGCTTGTTTGTTGTAAAAATTCATAACAAAAATGCTAATTTGTGCATCTCTTGACTTCTGGGTGCAGCTATGCTACTGTTAAATTTGGTGTATTCTGGGAAATTTTCTTACCCCCTGGTTTCAAGTGTGGTCCTGAAAAATCTCTATTTGAAGGGCTATCTAGCTGTTCCCCTTAGCCCTACTCCTATAAGCTAAAGAGAATTGGGATACCCCTAGCCCTTCATGTGAACGTGCAAAACGAGGGGGAAAGGCTAAGGGGTAGAATTGGGATTGGGCCTAAATGATGAGGTAATTTTCATTTTTGGGTGAACTAAAGATCTCATCAAAAATAAGCATTTGGAAGAAAGATAAAAGAATATACACAGGGAGTGATGTTTTTATGGGTCATAGGTAATGAAAATGTACCCATTAAATCTTTCAGCCGTTTCTGTGTAAATCGATCCAGTTTCTAATTTAAGTTAAACATGTCTATTTTAATTCCAATCCACATATCAATAGATAATCTCTTCAGATATCCATTTCTAGTTAATGTTTTTTTGCTAGTCACATTATTATATTCATTAAATATTCATCTCTTTTTTCTTTTTTTGCAGAATACATTAAAAGTACAAGATTTAGTTTTCTAGGTACATTATCAAATCACTTCAAAACTGGACAATCAAAGAAAAGCAATCAAACGCTAGATTACTCATAACACTACTCCATTGTGTTGCTGAATTAGAAACACTAAAGTGCTGCTGGCTTTATAATAATAATATAATATAATAACTGGTTGTCAGGGAAAATGTTTTTAAATTTAAATGAAATGATAATTATGACAGCAAGATACCTAATGATATATTACAGTACATATGTAAATGCAATATGCTCTTGCAAAATATTGAAAATAACTGTTTAGTTTCATTGATTACATGCTGCATAATTAAATTTTTTTTAAAAGACATAAAACATTTCTGTACTATGTACTGTTCATTTCAGTGTGATGTTCATTAAAGTTTATTATGAACTTTAATTCATAATTAAGTGAAAGAGATGATCTGTTTAAGCATTCTGCAACACTTCTTCTTGCACTAATGCATTCATTTGAAACGCCACATTACAGAGCATTACAATTTATTATTCGAGTTTCACTGTACAATTTATTCAGTGTGGCGACATGATGGCTCAGTGATTAGCACTGTCGCCTCACAGCAAGAAGGTCGCTGGTTCGAGCCCCAGCTGGGTGGTTGGCATTTCTCTGTAGAGTTTGCATGTTCTCCCCTTGTTGGCGTGGGTTTTCTCTGGGTGCTTGGGTTTCCCCCACAGTCCAAAGACATTCAGTGTAAGTTAATTGAATAATCTAAATTGTCTGTAGTGTATGTGTGTGAATGAGTGTGTATGGATGTTTTCCAGTACTGGGTTGCAGCTGGAAGGGCATCTGCTGTGTAAAACATATGCTGGATAAGTTGGCGGTTCTTTCCGCTGATGGATAAAGGGACTATGCTGAAGCTGAATGAATGAATGAATGAATGGATTTATTTAGTTCACTACAAATATTTAGTGACTTAGTGAAAATGCATCATTGCAGGAATGTGAAATAAATAATAGTATCTCTTAAAAAATGTAGTCAATTCATTTCATCCAAATAGTATTAGCTGCCAAAATTAGCACATAAGCTTAGATGTATTAATCCTTTCATTGCTCAGGATTGTTCGGTTGTTTGTTGTGATTAATAATTGACACTGCCCTATTTGACATTGATAATTATCTTCGCCATTTTTAATGGTCCTTTTTAAACTTGTATAAGCCAGTACATATTAAGACGTTCATCTGCAGCGTTTCTGGTTGTGAAAGCGTGCCTAATCATTCCTGCCAGATCTCTATAAATATGGAGAGGTGAGAGGTCAGATCAGGCTGGTAGTCGTTTCACACTGAACTCTCAACACAAAGGTTAAGTGGGTTTAATCAAGTGTCTGCATTAGTCAGGGGTTAGACTCAAGTCCACTGAATTGTCCCGCAGTGACCCTGTTTAATAATACCAGCTGCTATTTTCTGTGGTCAGGATGTAGAAACAGAGTGGATTGGTTTTGAAATAGAAGCCTTAGAGTAATTGAATGTAAGAGGGAGAGTTTGCTGCTTTGTATCTTGAAGCACTACCAGTTGGGAATTTTGCACTAAGCTCAAATTTGGAGTTCTTTAATTTATTTAGCCTACATTTTTGTGAAACTGCCAAAAAATACTTAAGCATACATTTTGCCTGAAGGTTATAGGTAAAATGAATGCTACGGGGCAGACCTTTGTTCTTTTTCAAACTAATGATATATACTGCAGAGTAGGGCTGGGGCCTAAATACCAGTGTTTGCACACAATATCTAATGGTAATCAAATAAAAAACATATACTTTGGGGTTCATTTTCCACAGTTTGGTTTTCATTTACTGTTTGCTTTTTGGTTTCTTTGTTGACTATTTTCTGGGCTCTTATCTCTCCCCCTGATCAGATGATCTCCTCCCCTCTGCTGTTCCTCCCTCATCAGCACTCGTCTGTCCTATATCTGACTTCAGTCTTTGATTGACAAACAAAGAAGAGATTATTCCCCTTAGAGAGAAATGGACGCAGAGGAACCAGAGAAAAGAACGTCTGATTGATTGAGAGAGATGTAGATAAAGCTTAACGGGGAAAAGCGATGGCTCCATGGCCGAGATGAGAGAGCTCATGCCGATATGATGGCTCAGATGAAACACATTGTGCCTCATGCATCATTAAGCACGTCAGATAGTGCACACATGCACTAATGCACACATGTGCAAATGCTCATGGGGTGACCTAAAATACTGAAGCCCTTTTCTAAAACCTTAATCTCTTTGATGTTTTGTGCCTTTGAGGTTTAGTATCTGAATAAATATGTTCACGTTTAGAACCATTTAAAATATGGGAATTATATGATTTCAGTGTGTTTTGTTCAAGTAAAGAATTTTTAGCACAGGGAAAAATGTTGTAGTAAATATTTTTACTCATAATTTCATTCAGTCCACTATTTAAAAAATAAGAAACACTCGCTCATATTTTTTTTCGGCTTAGTCCCTTATTTATCAGGGTTGCCACATCAGAATGAGCCGCTAACCAAAATAAGAAACTAATTTTTAAAAATTTTGAAGTAGAAAGACTTTAAGTCTTTACTTAAAAAAAAAATGCTGGGTTCCACACAACCAATTTGTGTTGGGACAACATAAAGGTATTAAGTTAACTTTTTAGTTTTTACAAATTTAAGTGGATTGAACATAAAACAATTAGGTTTTCCCCAAAAAACTTCAAGAATTGTGTTGCTTCAGCTCATTTAAAATAAGTAGTTTAAACAAACAGCCAACATCATTCTTTTTAGTGTTTATTTTACAATTGATAAAAATCATGTTCCACTTAAAAAAATTAAATAATGCTGATTTATCCATTTTTGAAGCATATTAAGCTTCCCCAAAAGTTTAAATGTCTCCAATTAGAATCACCATTTGCCTCAAAAAAGCTCAAAAGTGGGTCCCACTTTATATTAAGTGGCCCTAATTACTATGCACTTGCACCCTTATTACAGAATGTACATAAATGCTTTTACGCTGTACTTAAAGTTTAATTACTTGTAATTACTTCTGTAATGTATTTATGTAATAATGTTTCTAATTATACTTTTGACCCATCCCTTACCAGTCTTAAAACTGACCCATAGCGCCAAACCTATCC